TGCATTCAGGGAAACAAACCATCAAGCAACAGCCAGTTTTACTCAAACCAAGAAACTATGTCACACTTTGCACGCTCTGCAAAAGTATACACAGCATGGAAATTTTACCGAATTCAACTGGTGAAGGTGATCCCAAAATCTATCTTTGTACACTAATTTATCTATATATTGTGCAAACTCAGCTAGCATCTAAAATTGTCCTTTCCATGTTCTTTTGTAAACAGGAAGCTGCACAGAAAGGATTGCCAGTATGCCGCCACCTATTTCTCCATTACCCTAATGATGAACATGTACATCAATTGAGTTATCAGCAGTTCTTGGTTGGTTCTGAGTTCCTAGTGGTGCCTGTCCTTGACAAAGGAAAGAAGAAAGTAAAAGCTTATTTTCCATTGGAAGAGAGCAGTAGTTGGCTACATATCTGGACAGGAAAAGTTTTTTCCAAACAAGGAAGTGAAGCATGGGTAGAAGCTCCAATAGGATATCCTGCTGTATTTATTAAGGTTGGCTCCCTAATTGGAGAAACCTTTTTGAATAACCTAAGAAGTTTAGGCATTCTTTAATAAAGCATTCGTCAGAGGAGGATAAATCTTAGATATGTAACATAGCATCTAAGTAATTTTTCTATTCATGCCCCTGAATTAGTTTACTTGAATTTGTATCATTCCAACCGGGGCTAGTGTAAAGAAATAGCTGGAAGTATCTGAATCATGTACATCACATTCATTAAATTTCTTAAACTACAATGGTGGCTCCTTCTTAGGACAGCTTCCACATTCAATTCCAACAAATAACTCTACGACTGAAATAAAACATCAGGAAATTACCCATAGGTGCAGCTCGGGAAACAGTTTTCTATATCATTTTGTATGACTTTTTAACTAAATAATAAATAATTTAACTCGAAATGCAAACATGATTAACCACAGTGAACATTTCGTTAGTAGAATATTGGGTGGTTAATTATGTTTATATTTTATGCTATTGTTTGGTTAAAAAAGTTATACAAACTAACATGAAAAACTTTTTCCCAAACCCCATTTAAGGGTTACTTTTCCTAAAACATTTTGACTAGTTGATGAAGAGGACCATACACATCTAAAAGCCAGATATAAGAGAGAAGAGATTCTACTTTAAATAGAAGTTTCATGTATTACACCCAGCCAATTTTGAGACTCATGCTCATGCTCCTACATCTATCCCACCCCTATACCACATGGTAAAGAGGAAGCAGAAAAGATGGTAGCTTCTCAACAGAATAGGGAAGATTGTGACTGAAGTAAAACATGAATCATACCCAAGTTACAAAACTCAAATACTATTTCCAGTAGACAATAGCATACATACAAAACTGATACCTGACAACTTTTACAACTCCATTGTCAGCATCCCTAAAGCAATAACCTTAACAGTGATGTCAAAGTCCAGAAGGTCACAACGATGATGGGAAATAGAAGAAATAAATAAATAAATGGAAAGTGTGATTTCCCATCTTAATGATCATTTACTCAATCATATTTCTAACAGTCATCAAAACAAGTACTTAACTCACATAGTCATAAAATTGAATCCAAATGATATTAACTCTCTGTGTCCCTCTTCAGACATAGAAGGGGAGAAAGAAAAAAAAAAACTGTACAGCAACAATCAAAACTGTTTGGTTTCTATGTTGGATATGGACTTATTTTGCCATCACAATGAACTTGTTTCAACGCAAGAAGCACTGTCATGAAGAGTACTTGAATATATAACCCAGGAACTTAAAAAGTTTGAGACAATTATTCTGAAATATCATAGAGAACATTCCTAGACAACAATTTAATTGACCTCGAACCTTTAATAAGTAAATCACATCATCACATGCGGATGCCCAAAATGGGAATCATTCGAAAAGAAACGATTCAACCCCCCATTTCTAGTATTACTCTTTACTCTCTAACGCTAAGAAATGAGAAATCAATGCATGGGCAGAGAGAGAGAGAGAGAGCAACATAACAGAACTTACATGAACCTTCAAATTTCACAAATGGTTGTGTGCACATTGAGGTGAACTAGCAAATAGGTATGTTCACGATTCATGAGTTAATTTTCATGGAAATGTTTACGCAGTTCTCTGCAAACGAAAAGAAAAGTTGTTGGTTTTTTTTTTTTTTTTTTTTTTCTGTGTGGGTGTTGAACAAGGTTGTTCTCGAATACTTTAGTGGCATATTCTCTTGGGTACCAAGCCAGCAACATATTCTCTTAATTTGATGTGACTTTGTGGCATATTTTTTTATTTTTTAAATATTTCAATTGGTTCATTGTTTCTCAACTAATCTAATTCGGGACGGATCCAGAATTAAGACTTTAAATTCCTCTCTAATATTTTGTGGCATATTCTTTATGGGATTAGTTTCACTAATAATTTTATTTTTGATTCACACAGAAAAATGTATAGAGTCTACGCATAGTAAATAAAATTTTATTTTCTACAATGTCAAAACATTATTTTCATTTTTTATAGAGAAAGATTATATTTATAAATTTTTTGTTTATAAATTTTTATAAACTACACTAAGTATGACCGGTCATACTTCAACCAAAAGCATATGACCGGTCATAATTAATGTAATCTATAAAAAAAAATTATAAACGGATCATTTCTCTTCTTATAAGTACCTACTTATATTCAAGTTTGGAGAGACTATATTTAATATTGAAAAGTTTTAGTATTCTTACTAATAAATTAATTTTTATTAATCTATTATTATAATTTATTGGATCATATTTATTAATTAATTATTAATTTTCAATAAATTATAATTATTAAATTGATAAAAATCAATAATAATATATAACCACCCCAACTAAGTTTGAGAAAATTATAAAACTATAGGAAATATAACTCTGTATGCTATAAAGAGTTAATAGCTCCTTCCGGCCGACTCAACAAGAACGTGGAACCGACAGTATTTATGTGCCTAGTGCCTACAACACGAGACAAAGAAGAAATTAATCGCCCTAAAACTATTCCTCAAATAACTTTGCTTCTACAATCACACAAACTTCTAAACACAATTTCTGTTGAGAAAAACATTGTGTATTGATTGGAACTCTAACACTATGTAGTACCGATACCGACACGTGACACGATACGACACGACACTCCGACACGTTAATTCTAAAAAATGTTAGATTTTGACACGTTAGGACACGTTTTGATATTAAATAATATTGTTAATTTATATAGTGTATATTATATTTAATATTCAATAATTTAACAAAATGTAATATAAACTTATAATATTCATAAGTTTTGCAAAAAAACATAAGATATCTCAAATATTTATATTAAAATCAATAAAATGGTAATCGTAAGTCAACGAATCTAATAGTTGAAATTAAAAATTCAACACAACGCAACCTTTGAACTTTTTTTTGAATTTCTATAACGCGTGTTGGAGTGTCGGGGAGTGTCGGAGTGTCCGAGAGTGTCGGGAAGTGTCGGACACGACACGTCAGGATTTTTGAAGTGTCGGTGCTTGATAGCTCTAACACGAGAAATGTCAACGTGAGTCGTTCAAATAAAATTAAATCACAATTTAATGACTTAAAAAACAATAAAAAATAATAATAACATAAGAAGGGAATTATTATAAAATAAAAAATTTATTTATTTTATTTTTCTTGCGACTTTTTTCGTTATATGCTGCCAAATTTCTTTTGAATTTTTTTGTGTTAAGAACATATGTTAAGAAATAAAAATAGCATTTGTTACTCAATATAATTACTTAAAAAGAATATAAAATATTTAAAAATTTAAAAATATTAAACAAAATTTATTAAAAAAATTATATTTTTAATTTCTTAACTTCTGCTAAAAGTAGTTAACAAAACATTTTTTAAATATTAATGTAAAAGTTTGCAGTCCACTTTAATCTTATCTTTATATGTAAAAATATTAAATAAAATGAAGAATATTGATTATGAATATCAAGTCTCATAATACGTATTTGTATTTTAAGTGTAATTAATTCTACTCAAACTTTTCTCTATCATAATATACAATACAGCTAATAATAAATATGAGTATCACGTAAGGAACATTTGAGCAAAAATACCTAACACAGAGTACTTTTACATATCCTGCACCTTGAAACTTTAATAGCTACTAATTGACTAATGATATCATACAAATAGGATATTCATACTCTATCTTTTTTCTATTACCAATCTACTATCACTCTAATTATCATTGGATTCAAAAGTTGCACTATTGAATTTAAAAGTGGTTTTTCTTTTCTCTTTTCATTCAACTTTTTCTCTAATACAATGGAGATTTGAATAGTAGTGAATTGATAGTAGAAAAAAGTAATAGTATGAATATCTTACCTCACAACCAATATACATAAATAAAAATTCATCATTCTACATAACTGAATTTATACATGAATTATTACCAAAAAAATTATATATGAATACATGCAATGTTACTTTCATCATTCATGCATTTATTTATCCGTCTCTTTTCTTTTAGCTCATATAGCATTTCACTGTCTTAGATGCAACAGAACGCATATACACTAATAGATCAACAGTTATTGTCATGTGATATAAGTAAATTAGTTCTAATAACATGCTCTACCATAAGTTAAGAATAAAGGGTAGTCTAATCACGTCTAACTCAACTCAATTCGACAAAACTTAAACCACCAATAACTCAAACCAACTCAATGCAAGCAATGAGGCTTTAGTTTTGTTTACTAAACACGCTTGTAATTAATTAATAAAAAAAAAGATATAACAAATATTAAAGTTATTATCATATAATAGCTGAAAGTATTGGGATAAAAATAAATGAATAGAAGCAAAATCCAAACAAATATATATGTAACATTATTAGCACTATAAATCTTTTGCTGACCTTCAAAGAATTTCTACAACTGTAATCAAAATGGCAGATTTATGCATAGCATGTTATAGTGCCTTTGTCAAGTTCCTTTTTTAAGTTGAAGCCTCCCCATGCACATGTTTCATTCACCATTCAAGCATAATTATGGCCAAAAAGTTCAAATTCTAGGAATTAATAACCCTGCAAAATAAATACCCCACCCAGTTACGTTTTACAATGTGGCACTATCAAACACGAGTTCAGGAGCTGGTAACTTAAAAAGAGTAACATTTTAAGTACACGAATATATTACACATACAATTGCAAAAATGAAGGATCAGATATAGGTGGGGCAGAAAAATATGCATTTGTCAGATTTGTAGAAATAAAATTAGACCTCCAACAAGCCTCCTCCCAAATATTTCCCAGCAGCTGCAATTGACAGCTCCACTTGTGCCCTGTGAACAGTGCTTTTAAATCACCAAATGGCACCAAGAAGAAAACAGGGACCTTGCTTCAATTAAGACGTCTAAGCAGTCCACAACACCGCATATAGAAAAAAAAATTGTGCCTGAATATATTGTAGTGTATGGTTACTAAGACCCTTCCATTTCTCCAAATCTAGCTGTACCATCAAATATCTAGCTGATCAAGATCAATCATGTTTGCATAATTTCGTATGAGCTCCTTCCGAACATCCACCTAATACAAATAAAAATAAAAATACAGATTATGGCACTATGATAATAACTAACAAGCGGATTGGTGGTCACCTGTAATCTTTATGACATTGTACCTAAGAATCTACAAGGTCAACCAAGAATAACATTCAAGTATTTTTAAGCTCAAGCACATGTCAATACATCACATGTGATATTCGAGCAAGAATAAAAGTAACATAAAAAATTAATGATCACAATATTTTTGTATGAGTTCATAAAACCACCAGTTTCCATCAGCAAAACTGTGAGAAAGATATAAAATTTACCTTTGTTTATATCATGTATTTGTTTTGATTAAAAAAAATGTATCACAACCTGGTGGATCACAAATTAAAAAAAAAACACTCCATTAAACCCTGTCTAAGGAAGGTAGAGTTGGTAGATCACAACTGCTTTTAAAAATTTAAGCACCTTTTTAAGTTATATATATATATATATATATATATATATATATATATTTATTTATATTTGGAGTCTAAAATTTCATTTTTTTAATACGATTATTAAATATAATTTATAAAAGAAAGCTGACATGAATAAAAAATTTATTAATAAAGTTTAAGAAACAAAAAAATAGTGTAAAACAATAATGCGTGACAAAGACTGGCAAGTTTAATGAATCTGCAAGTCAAAAAAAGTATAAAGTGAAATTGTAATATACGTCTTAATTTGGAAAGACGAGCATTCATCAAGAAAGTTTAGGGTTTTATATTAACTATTTTGCATTTCTCTTTTGAAAAGAAAAGATACACAAAGTTACAAACGAACTCTGATCCCAATAAATAAATAAATCTTTAACATGTTTTAGTGAGTAATGTAATACAATATATAGAAATATACCAATTTCTGAAAAAATTAGGATAGACCCGCCATGGTACATTAAACAAAATGTTTGAAAAATTTATTTATATTAAAACACTGAATAATCCATATTACACCTAACGTAACCATGAATACGACCAACTTCTTTTCACAGCAGTTAACATTAAAAAATATATATATATATATATATATATATATATATATATATATATGATTAAAAAACTTGAACAAATAAGTGCATCATTTAATGGAAGAAGCTTAGTTACTGTTGCCAAGGTACAAAAATAGTTAATGCACAGATCACAGATAGGCAAAAAATCAACCCCAACTTCTGTAAACCAAACTCCATTTTTATTGACCTTTTATATCAAGCTTAATAGTATAAACTTTTATCACAGCAGTCCAAAATTCCACATCGATCTTTAATTGTATGGGGTGAAGGGACTGCGCCCCTTCTTCAATGTAAAACAGGGTAATTTTGAGAAGTTAATGTATGAGTACTGAGTAGATTAAAATACTAAATGCATGAAAGATTTCTCCCTCTTTTAAGTAAAACATGTACTGAAAATTTCAAATCACAAGTTACTTGTCAATTTTGGTTGCCCAGAAATATCTTAATTTTCAATGTATCTTGCAGTAAATATATAGAAACAAATAGATTCAGTTAAAAAAAAGAATCACAAAATCAGATAAGTGCACATTACCCGAGCACCCATCAGAGAGGAAAATACAATATTTGCTTCAGCTGCATCCTCAACCTTTAGTTGCTTCAGTAACCTGCGTTCTGGATCCATGGTTGTCTCCCATAATTGTAAAGGCATCATCTCTCCTAGCCCTGCATTCATAAAACATACAAGAGTACACTATTATGGATAGAATCATGAAAACACTGTAAAATAATTAGCTCCCAGAGATAAACAAAAATTCAGCATCAAGGAAGCATACAAGTATTATCGAATAAATGGGTAGAAGTATATAAACAAAAAGAAACAGTTAATTTTCAATACAAGAGACTCAAAAGCATAAAACTTACTTTCCTTAAACCAACATGTTCATTACAAGGGTCTACAAGACACCACAATGATGGATATGATCATTACAAGATTGACTAAACCCCCCAAACATTCAGACATGAGGTCACTGTTGATTCACAAGCCTGGCTTTTGAAGGAAAGGGAATCGAATGAAATCATCATTCCTCTTATCATGTTTGGTATGATCAGGAATGGAATGAATATTTCACTGCATACCTACTATTGCTATCGCACAAGTAAAGCCAGTATGTAAAGGGGAAAAAACTCCATGACGTTAAGAAAATACTAATCCCTACAAATAACTTCGCAGAGGTTTCCCGAAGGTGGGAGACTAGTAGTTTAAGATGGGTGTATGCAATTATTTTCACATTCATTTCTTACTTTGACCGCCCATGTTTCCCGTGCGCATTCCCTCTTTCGTATTCAAATTCATGTGTTCCCATCAGTAATTTTCATGACACTGATAACCTTACTTATTAAATAATTTAATGTTTATTTTTAATTTATGTTGCCAAAATTGTTGTACAAGCCTACAAATAATTTTAATACAAGAAGCTTGCAACCAACAAAACTTTTCATCATACCTTTGAACCTTTGCATGTTGTATGATGCATTAGGAGGTAATGAGCTTTGGAGCTTTTTAAGGTCAGCTTCATCATAGCAATAGTGCACTTGTTTTCCCCTTACAACCTGGTTATTCAGTAAAGATAGCTGGATGTTAGCTTGATAATATTGGATAGACATTCCATGTAGCAAAAACTTTAGGCAAACCTTGTACAATGGTGGAACACCAACATATATGCAACCTTCATCAAACAAAGCTCTCTGCAAAAAGGAACAAATTCGATCAATTTATTTTAATTTATTATTCTCATGGGAGCTGGTTTGCTTTTCTTGTTCCATGTAGGAGTAGATTTTGCACGCATTTTCTGCATACTTTACCTGATATCTGAAGAAAAATGTCAGTAGCAGAGTTCGGATGTGGGCACCATCTACATCAGCATCAGTCAAAATAATAATCTTATGATATCGGAGTGCATCCTTTTTAAAATCCTCTCCCTGAACCAACAAATACACATTTTTTTAATTAAATTACTAAATAATAGTTTATAAAGTTAAGGGCATAGAATTCTGGCACAGGTGATCAAGGATTTTTACTTTGATATATTTGTTTTGATTAGTATATACTCTAGCATGGACAATATTACTAATAACTTAGTTACCATGCTATTCAGAGATGGCTTTTCCAATTCAATTTTGGAATTCGTTAAAGGTTTCTTACTTCCTATCATATTCAGGATTTTTTCCGTTGCCTTCATAAACTTGACATTAACACCCAATGCATCTGTTGTAGGCTTTCCAAATTCTCATATTCTTTCTCTTCCAATCTTCACATTTCTAATTTTGTCTCTAAATTCTCTTCAAGATTCGCATCAATTGCTATTAACTTGGTTTTACATGGGTCCTCATTTGGGAATCACAACAATTTATAGGCTGTATTTATTATATAAAATTTGAATTTTAAGCAGGCTGCTTGCATGTTACTTTTCCTATACATATCCCTATCAATTAATTTGCTGTTTCGATAAAAGAAGAAAACTAAGACAAGGAGGAAACTTACAATTTATTTATTAAAGAGCCTTCTTGTAAGTAATATTTTAAACTTGACAGTAGTTTGATTTTAAGATCTTTCATTCATCTATCTATTCATTTCTCTGCTTTAACTCCTTCAGTAATAGCAAATTAATGAAACATAAACAATTTTAACCTTCACTCCAAGACCAAGACCAAGAATCAAATTTTGGATCTCTTCATTTTTGTACATTGCTGCCTCATCCCTCCTTTCAATATTCAGAATCTTACCCCTCAGAGGGAGAATGGCCTGTATCAAATATGATCTGATAAATACATACACATACACAAAATATTTCTTTTGTCCGTAATGAACCACCAATCTAACAAAATGCTCAACAAATGTCAGTAAACAAATAATGTAATTGATTACATACAATGATTAGAAAGACAAGCATTAGAATATAAAATCACAAAAATATCCAGAAATATGGAAGTCAAATCCGTACATGAAAACTCTCACAAAATTCAAAATTTCCTGTCATCGATCGCATCATTACTGTTAGAATATTAGATATGATATGATTAGATTTGATTAGATATGATTGGATTCTATCTTATCCGTAAATAGTCTGACTGTATTCTGACTGTATTAGGATTAGGTTTGGGCCTTACACTTAAGCCCATTAAGGTCTCTATATATTGTAACTCCCTGACACAGATCAATACACAACGTATTCTTTTACATTTAACTTGGTACCAGAGCTATTTCGTTCTGGGAACCCTCGCTTCCGCTTAGAAATCTTGTTCTTCGCTTTAAAACCTAAGCCCACTGCTTAGGAGTCATCTTTTCTTTGTCGTGCGTCCTTCCGGTAAGACATCAAGGGCTGTAAGTCCTCTCCAGGCATCTTCTGCACGTGTCCACATCCCCAAACAGTCACCGGAGCACCATCAGCCACCGTCAGCCACTGTTCAGGCTGCCGGAGTACTTTTCCGACGAGTTTTCAGTCTGGAACGAACGCGAACAGAACCCTCTCCTCCCGGCGACCTGCTCTGTGGAAGTCCGGCCACCATCGGAGTTGTCACGCGCTCTCACGCGCCTCCAGTCTTCTCTGCGCGTGGGCTTCACACGCCACCTTCTGCCGGCGCGTGAGCACTATTCCAGCGGCTTTTTCCGGCCGGTCTTGGACAGAGAAGCTCGTCTTCTCCTCCTCTTTCTGGATCTGTGGTTGGTTCTTTGTGGGTCTGACTTTTTGTGCGCACCTCTTCTTGATTGGTGATCAGGTTCGTTTCTCTTTATTCGGTTTGTATCTTTGTGATTTGATACTATGGCAGCAAACCCTCCAATTCATTCGGAGGTCAAGTCTCCATCTCCTCCTTTGAGAAATTCTCCCAATATCATCTCTACCAATATTGGGTCCATTACCTCTTCAAAATTGAAGGGATCTGTTAATTACAAGAACTGGGCCACCTCTGTTCGAGTTTGGTTCTTTGGACAAGGATATGGGAACCATCTCACAACTAAGTCTACTGATGTCCCTAAGGAGGACAAGTCTGATTGGGAAAAGATTGACAACCAGCTTCTGAGTATCCTCTGGCAATCCATTGATCCGATTGTCTTGGATATCTTTTATTCATTTCAAACTTGCATTGAAGTGTGGGAGGAAGCAAAAAACCTCTACACTAATGATGTTCAGCAGCTCTATTTCATCCGACATTCAGATGGAGACATATATTGACAAGAGTCGCTCTTTGATGCAGGCATATTTGGATATGCTGCCTTACCCTACTGATGCTACTGCATATCGGAAACAGGTGGAACGTCTCTTTATGGTTGCCACACTTTCTGGCCTTCCCGAAGAATATGATAATGTTCGTGATACTATCTTGACTAGTGGGGAGCCTGATCTATCCATGACGTATCAGCGTCTTCTGAATTTGAATAAGAAATCTGCTCCTGCATCGTCTTCTGCTGTTGATTCTACTGCTCTAGTTTCCCGTACTGATTTTCGCGGGCATATTGGAGGTGGACGTGGTCGTGGTAGAGGCCCAGGAGGCCGGGGCCCAGGAGGACGTAGCCCAGGAGGTCGTGGCCCAGGAGGCCCAGGAGGTCCAGTCGGACGTGGTCAGCGACCTCGTTGTCATTACTATCAGCAACTTGGTCATTATGAGGAACGCTGCTACACCAAGTATCCTCACATGCGACCTTCTTTTGCTGCTAATGTAGCTCAATCGGATACTGCTTCAAATGGTTCAGTCTCTCTCTCCTCTGAAGAATATGCAGCATTCCAGGCCCTTCTCAGGAAGTCCTCTCCTCAATCTCAGGCCTCTGCTTCAGAAACTGGTAATCCTGTTGCTTGTGTTTCTCATTCTGCATCACTTGGTCCTTGGATATTTGACTCAGGTGCTACTGATCACCTCTGTGGTAATAAGGAACTCTTTTCTTCCCTTACATATTCTAATAATTTACCCTCTTTTACTCTTGCTGATGGAACTAAGGCCCCCGTTCATGGGATTGGACAAATCTGTCCAACCTCCTCATTGACCTTGACATCTGTCTATTACATTCCTCACATCCCTTATAATTTAATATCGGTTAGTAAATTGATCAATTCTCTTAATTGTATTGTCACATTCTCAAACCATTCTGTTTCTGTGCAGGACGCGGGTACGGGGAAGATGATTGGAGTGGGCCGTGAGTCACGGGGTCTGTTCTACCTTGATGTGCCGAGTCCTTCAGTTGCTTGTTCTCTCACAGAATCTCCACAGCTCATCCATAGTCGTCTCGGGCATCCTAGTCTTGCGAAATTGCAGAAGATGGTTCCTTTTTTATCCGGTCTTCAAACTTTAGATTGTCAGTCATGTCAGCAAGGAAAGCACATACGCTCCTCCTTTGCTAATCGAGTCAATAAACGAGCTGATGCTCCTTTTTCAATTATTCATTCAGATGTTTGGGGTCCTAGTCGTAGTGTGTCTATTTTAGGTTTTCGGTATTTTGTCACCTTTATTGATGATTTCTCCCGTTGTACTTGGATTTATTTAATGAAAAACCGTTCTGAGTTGTTTTCTATTTATCAAAAGTTTTCTGCTGAAATTCATACCCAATTTGGTGCTTCTATTCGTATTTTACGTAGTGATAATGCTAAGGAGTATGTTTCTGTTGACTTTTCTCACTTCTTAGCCACACAGGGTACTTTACACCAAACCACTTGTCCTCACACTCCACAACAAAATGGAGTAGCTGAACGTAAGAATAGACATCTCATTGAGATTGCCAGGACTCTTCTTATTCACATGCATGTTCCTCTTCACTTCTGGGCTGATGCAGTCCTTGCTTCTTGCTTTCTCATCAACCGCATGCCTTCATCTGTGCTTAATAATGATATTCCTCATAACTTCTTGTTTCCAGATGTTCCTCTCTTTCCTCTATCCCCACATGTTTTTGGTTGTACCTGTTTTGTTCATGATCTCACTCCTAGTAAGGATAAGTTAACATCCAAAGCCTTTAAATGCATTTTTCTTGGTTATTCTCGTCTTCAAAAGAGTTATCGTTGTTACTCTCCTGACCTCAAGCGTTACTTAGTTTCCGCGGATGTCACCTTTTTTGATCAACAACCCTTTAATTCTATCCCATCTCCATTGTCACAGGTTGATCATGTTCTTCATGTTCCTTTTCTTGACTTGTCTTTGCCAGATGCAGGTGCTTCTACTCCAGATAAGCAATCACCTATTGCTCCAGTACCTAAGGACCGTCCACTTCTCACTTATCAGCGTCGTAAGACAGTACCTCCAGTCGACTCGACCCCTGCTGACTCATTGCCCTCTGCAGTTGATTCTTCCCCTCCGGATCCTTCACCAGAGGCTCTTCTCATTGCTCAAAGAAAAGGTACACGTACTACTCGTAACCCTTATCCTCTTTATACCTTCTTGAGCTATGATCGCCTTTCTCCTCCTCATTTCACCTTTGTTTCTAGTCTTTCTTCTGTTCCTATTCCTAAGACCACAGGTGAAGCACTTTCCCATCCAGGATGGCGCCAAGCGATGCTTGATGAGATGACCGCACTTCATACCAATGGCACTTGGGACCTTGTTTCTGCTCCTCCAGAGAAGTCTATAGTTGGTTGTCGCTGGGTGTTTACTGTGAAAGTTGGACCTGATGGCCATGTTGATCGTCTCAAGGCACGCCTAGTTGCCAAGGGTTTTACTCAAATCTTTGGCCTTGATTATAGCGATACATTCTCTCCAGTCGCTAAGATGGCTTCCGTCCGCCTATTTCTTGCCCTTGCTGCTGTTCGTCACTGGCCACTCCTTCAACTTGACATCAAAAATGCCTTTCTTCATGGTGATTTACAAGAAGAAGTTTACATAGAGCAACCACCTGGTTTTGTTGCTCAGGGGGAGTCTGGGAAGGTATGTCGTCTTCGAAAATCCTTATATGGTCTCAAGCAGTCTCCTCGAGCATGGTTCAGTCGCTTCAGTTCTGCTGTACAGGCGTTTGGCCTAATTCGCAGTAAAGTTGACCATTCTGTATTCTATAGGATTACATCTCCTAACAAGTGCATCTATTTGTTAGTCTATGTTGATGACATAATCCTCACCGGAAGTGATCAAGACGGAATCCATCAGTCAAAACAACATTTATTCAGTGCATTTCAAACAAAGGACCTTGGGAAGCTGCGTTACTTCTTGGGAATTGAGGTGGCGCAATCTAGACAGGGCATTTCTATCTGTCAAAGGAAGTATGCCTTGGATATCCTAGAGGAGACTGGTATGTTGGGGTGTAAACCAGTTGATACACCCATGGATCCTAATGTTAAGTTATTGCCCAGACAGGGGGAGCCATTATCTGATCCTGGACGTTATCGAAGGCTGATTGGGAAGCTCAATTATCTTACTGTGACTAGGCCAGATATTTCTTTCGCTGTCAGTACGGCCAGTCAGTTCCTTGATTCCCCTTGTGATTCACATTGGGATGCTGCAGTGAGGATCCTCCGATACATCAAAGGAGCACCAGGAAAAGGTTTGTTGTATTCGGATCAGGGAAATACAGAAATTTGTGATTACTCAGATGCCGATTGGGCAGGATCACCCTCGGACAGACGCTCTACTTCTGGTTATTGTGTCTTCTTCGGAGGAAACTTAATCTCATGGAAAAGCAAGAAACAACCTGTTGTTTCCCGATCTAGTGCAGAAGCTGAGTATCGTGCAATGGCAAATACTACCTGTGAGTTGATCTGGTTAAAGCAGTTGATTCAGGAGCTTCATCTTTGTAAACAGAAACAACCCATGACACTCATCTGTGATAATCAAGCTGCGCTACATATATCCTCTAATCCTGTTTTTCATGAGAGGACCAAACATATAGAGATTGATTGTCACTTCATTCGGGAAAAGATTCAGTCAGGAGAAATCAAGACAGCTTTTGTCAACTCGTCTAATCAACTAGCAGATGTTTTCACTAAAGCTCTTAGAGGTCCTCGGGTTGAATACATTTGTAACAAGCTTGGTGCTCATAATATATACGCACCAGCTTGAGGGGGAGTGTTAGAATATTAGATATGATATGATTAGATTTGATTAGATATGATTGGATTCTGTCTTATCCGTAAATAGTCTGACTGTATTCTGACTGTATTAGGATTAGGTTTGGATTAGGTTTGGGCCTTACACTTAAGCACATTAGGGTCTCTATATATTGTAACTCCCTGACACAGATCAATACACAACGTATTCTTTTACATTTAACTATTACCATTGCTCAAATGTTTTTTTTTTTGTTAACATTCAGAAGGTAACAAACAGCTTTAGTGAAAATTAACAAAATTAAATAAGTTTCTTTCTAATGTTATTTCACTAGAAGAAGAAAAAAAAGCCCCTCGTACAAAGATATTAGAAATGGCAATGTCATACGAGGATTTGGAAAACAAAATTTCTTTCCTCCCAAAAATAATAATAATAATAATAATTGTAAAGGATGACTTCCCTTTAGTTATTTTCTTTTGAAGATAAAATCAAGTGGCAATTTTTTAAACCACTTCTATTTTACATATCTTCACTTCAAAATGAACGCAAAAATTAGTCAACAATTTTAGTCAAGTAAGAGAATAAATAGTTTTTGTTAGATATAATAAAACCAATATTGTGCCTTCATGGCTTCACCTAAGAGTTTGAGTTGTTAGGAAAGTAGGTTGTTAAAATGATATTAGAGCCTCCTTTACAAGTGACCGGGAGTTCAGTTCTTACTGCCTTCATTCTTCTAATAAAAAGGTTGAATTTTAGTACAAGATATAGTGGGGTTGTGCATTATTCACAATCACACTTCAAGTCCAAAGGGTTGATGCATTAGGGAGCATATTGAAGATAAAATAAAATACGTCTGGAGCCTACACATAAGAACTTAAACTTTTAGGAGAGTCAATCCTCGATGGTTTCAAACTCAGTACCATGTAAAAGAAACAAGTTTAAAAAGAATTGTTTGCATGTCAGATGGTTACAATTTTGTAAACTTTCGTCTGAGAATGAATGCTCTACCTGGAAGCCCCTGTCACGCCCTTGCTTAGCACTTCCTCCAGCTGAATCACCTTCAACTATAAAGATTTCTGCAATATAGGGATAAAGAACAAAGACTTTTCAATTGAAAACACACAGCTACCTCATCAAAAGATTGAGCCAAAAAGATCTCTCAGCTAATTTGACATGAATCAACTATGCTAGGACACATATCTCAGCTCTACATAGAGTGTTAATGAAAATATATCGAGTATATCTTATAACGTATATGAAAATACCTAACTAATAACTCCTGTCTGTTAAGAAACCATTCCTTTTAAAGAATAGAATATTATATCAGTTACACAAAATCCCAAATATCACCAAAGGACTCCAAATACTAGCGCTAAAATTGTGCCATAACCATCACATAACATCAAAACCTCAACATCAAATGATAGTCTTAACCCCATTCCTTACAAACCAGGCTGCATACAATTGCCCAAGGGCATCAAGCTACAGCCTTGAAATATATGGGCATAAAGCATACATACTTTTGAAATCCCTAAACAGAATTAGGTGGTGAAAAATGGAAGTCAAAACTCAAAGCACTATACTGAAATAAAGACATTCAACATTTCTAGTGCATGTGATTCATCCTCCACAACATTTATTATTATAGACCACCAACAATTGCATATACTCTTGATGAAACAGTAGCAATTTACTCTCTACAACATTGTAGCAGTCTGTTACGACTGAGATTGTAAAAGGGCCATCATAGATTGGGCCAGGGTAGTTGGAAGTAATTATGGAAGCCTAAAGACTTGTATATAAGGGGAATACCCGTATTAGGTAGGAGTAGCTTTTGACAAATATTAGATTAGACTGGAGTGCTCAGTGAGAAGGGGAGTGCCCCTTGGCAAGAGAAGTGTCTCATGTATGTCCTTTGTTTTTTTTCTCATCAATGAAAAAATCTTTTTCTTCCATTCCCCATTTTTCCTTTTCACTTTACAAGTATCAGACTTTAGAAAATCCAGACCCGCAACAATTGGTCCAACCGCCGGATCTATGAAAGGGGTGAACGCAATGGGAGTACAACTTGGAGTTTGAAGAATTCTGGAAATCATATCAAGAAGACCAGCAATTCAGCCAACATCTCAGAATTCAATGAAAAGTTGCAGAAGACATTAAAGATTCTAGATAGGTTGGTGGAGAAAAGGGAGACACCAATATGCGAAATGAAGAATCACGATTTTGATGGAACAATTGTAGTTTCCAAGCCAGAAATGGGTACGCAAAAAATGGGGAATGGAAGAAAAAGATTTGTACATTGATGAGAAAGAAAACAATGGACATACAAGAGACACTTCTCTTGCCAAGAGGCACTCCCCTTCTCATTGGGCACTATCAGTCTAATCTAATATTTGTCAAAAGCTACTCCTGACACGGGTATTCCCCTTGTATACAAGTCTTTAGGCTTCCATATTAAGCTCCTAACTAACTGACTACTTCTAACTACCCTAGCTCAATCTAAGGCCCTTTTACAATCTCAGTCGTAAGTTCGTAACACAGTCATATTGGAATGACAGCAGATGCTTCCAGAAAAACAACCAATCAAGAGAGATGAATAATATATTATTTGGCTTGCAATCTAGAAAGGCTTTTCAAATCATTGATATTGAATTCCACTTAGATTTCATTGAGAATACTTTTAAGCTCCATTTGCACAATTATGAGTAGAGCTTTTCTCATTTCTAAAAATATATGTTTGTTCTGTAATATTAATCTCTGGTTTTTTATGCAGTTAAGCTGTTTATGAGATAAGCAAGCATCACTACAGAAAAACAAGATCAGGAAAACATATACCAAAGAGACAAAGTAATTAAAGGACTTCAACAAAAAATATTAATTTCATATTCTAAAAGTTATGGATCATGGAATGCTACTAGAATTTATAGGGATTAACTCTTTTATAATTGAACTACGTCAAAGACCTATGGTTCAAATGGATGTTTTTCAATGAAGCAAAATAAGTTCCAAGAGGTATACCGCATTCTTCCGGATTTGAGGATGAACAATCAGCTAGTTTTCCCGGAAGAGATGAAGATCTCAATACACTCTTTTGTCTCACCAATTCCCTTGCTCTTTTTGCCGCCAGAGCTGCCTAATCAGACAATAAATTCACAAGAGGAAAATTTTCTGGTTGAATTATATAAAAACATAATAATAAAGCAAAGCCTAATATTCCTATAAGGAGCAACAGTGTCTAAAAAAACAGACTTATAAATTTTATAAAGAGATGACTACCTTGAAAGCATTCAGAGCTTTAGAAAGTACTAAATCAAGAACATCTGGATGCAATTCCAAATACTCGGTAAGATAGTCTTGCATAGATTGATCAACCACTCTCCGCACCTCTGGATTTCCTAACCTTGTCTTTTCGCAACAGAAAAAAAAAAGTAAGAAAAAACTTAAAGGAGTGCCATCAAATGCAGGGAAAGAAAATGGACTGAAAACTTCAATATTTCAAGTAACCTAATGGTGTAAGAATATAAGCACTCCAATAAACTAATATAAAGTAAGCAGTACCTTCGTTTGTCCTTCAAACTCTGGATTTGGGACCTTGACTGAGACAACACATGTTAGACCCTCTCTCACATGCTCACCACTTAAAGTAATATCCTTTTCCTGCAAAAAACCGTAGATGCTATTCAACAGTGAAACTTTAAATCCATTTTGAAGAATTCATAAAATAATCCATTTCAGACAAGGGAGGCTTTTGTCATCCTCCAATTACCACATTCAACTTAACACATACAGAAATTTGGGTTCTGTTAAGGATACAATGTAGTAATAAGGAAAGTGGTTGGTGCTTTAAGTAATTAGTTACTGTAGCGCACCCAAAGTGAAGGTTAAAATAATGATTATGTTGTTATAAAAAAAATAGTTATTATGTAGCTGTAGTATTAGTATAATTAGAATCATAGAGAATATCAAAAATAACACCCTACACAGAAAATCTTGTATTACAGGAGAGTGAAAGGGCAAGACAACGGGGAAAATAAAGAGACAACAGCTGAGGAATACCTTGATAACTTTTGACTTCTTTCCAAGATTATTTAGTGTTCTTGTTAAAGAAGCCTTCATACCATCGATATGGGTGCCCCCGTCAACAGTGCGTATACTGTTAGCATATCCCAGTATTGTATCTGAATATGCATCTTCACACCTAGTAAAGGATAAATGAAACAATCACACATGCTGATAAAAGGAATTATGAATAGTTGTCAACCATATTACAGAAAATTATACAATCCAATTGTTCATTTGGAGCTTTTATATTTACAAGATATACAAGGCTAACCCTTAGCTTTACAACTTAATCCTTACACATACTCATTAGGAGTCATGTGCCAAACAGTGACAACTGAATCCTGACAAACTAAATGAAATGTATCCAGCAAACAGAGATGTAAGAAGTTCAGAAATCAGGGCAGGTCTTACCATTGAAAAGCTATATCAATTGCGATTCCATCTATTTCTTTTCTAAAACTCAGAACATCATGAAGAGCTTTCTGGAACAGAAGGTCATTAGTCAATAATTGCTTTACAAGCTAATGAAAATATCAAATCCAAATATATTACATAATAAGCAGTTTTTGCATTAAAAGAATCAAATTAAAGCAATGAACCATTGTTTAATACAGAAAATAAACATTGATAAATTCATGATGCAACACTTACAGCCACTCTTATAAGGCCAACAGAGAACACCACTAAGCAATGGGAACACATCCAATTGTAGAAAAAGAAACTCAACATTGAAAAAGACATCGAGCCAGAATTATTAATGCTCATGCAGAATGCTACCCACACAATCGAGGTCAAATACAAGCACACCCTTGTGCAGGCCATTGGATCATCATGCACAGGTCATTAATTTGACACACTGCAGAGAGCTAATGGCCCCAGTGCAGGGGTGTGTTCGATTGTGATTCAACCGGTTGTGTCAAAAGTATTACTCCAAAATAATTGCAAGTAATACAACTTACTCAGCTCACATAGTTGCAAATCTGAATCCAAATGGTACACTACAACTTTTTTTGATCTTAAATAAGTACCGTGTGAACAAGTGTTTCCAGTTGATAACATGAAAGAATTGTGCACTAAACACTATAGCAGTACCACGGATATTTTATAAAAATATAGACATAGATCATAAAACATGACATATTCAAGTATAATAGAAATTTAATTTTTGTTTGAAGTAGAAAGAAGAAGGATAAGAACCTCCCAAAGCAAACCAACACCAATGCAAAAAAATATATATTAAAATGGATGACATTAACCATGCATAAGCATAAAGGTAAAATGTACCAGAAGACCTTATCAGTGTTAAGCCACTTCACATATTCAACCAATCCCCCAGCATAGAAATACTCATTATATTGATTTTTTTCTGGATCACTGTCCTCTTTCTGCAGCGTGATAGTAAGCTGCAAAGGTCAAGAAAAAGCCACAGTAAGATGCAAAGTAGATTGAAAAAAAAAACCTCTTGTAGAAGTCTTGATTTATAGGTGACTAAATATGGGACACAATGCTTCGGGCAAGCTCAGCCTCACTTTTCAGGTGTGCCAAAAGATTAAGTCCAGCTAATATTCAACCTAATTATTACGCAAAGCTCAAGCCTGAACTCTCATCAATTTACAAAGAATCTTTAGTTTTACATTAAAAAACTCATCAAATAAAAGATGTTTCTCAATTTTATCTCACAATAACTTCTATTTGCACAGTATAATCTCTTATAGTTTCTTTCATCTAACAGAGGAACTCAACAAATTTACAGGCACAGACAACAGTCAGCAATGGTATTGACAAGAAAGGGTAGATGGCATTTGCAGGTTTTCCGACAAGCAAAAGGTGGTGTTTCTTGTTTTGCGTAAGGTAATTTGAAACAATAGCTCTGGCAGACCTAAAGGCACAGCTTAAAGCACAAGTCTTTACCAGTCTCTTAAAATTAGTTTTTAATTTACACAATTTTTTTTTCTTTAAACCACTACAAAAACCAGTTGAATATATGTACCAAAAAAAAAAAAAAAACCAGTTGAATATACCTCACAAATTCAAATCGTAATGAAGCATAAAATGTCATATATAATACGATATGAAGGGTTAATGATCTCTACTGACACCAATTAGCTAGAGCTTGGCCCTCTATTTTTTGGGGAAATAGAACAAGAAACTTTATTAGAAGAAAAGATCTAGGCTTCATCTTATTTATTTTAAAAAACCAAAATTCAAGTATAAGATACGCTTATATACAAAAAACTGCTGTGTTTGTGCCTAAAATTATTATCATACTTCTGTCTGGATTAAGTAACAAACAAAAGATACTGTTTCCATTAATTTTATTAAAATGAAACAAATATGCAACTTCATAGAAAGTAGGAACAATGAAATTGACTGGGCCATCTGCAGAATCATACGGTGAAAAAGGCAAAGATTTAATTTTAAACAAATGTAAGTATATAAAGTGCTTCAATGTGTTTAAGATAATGAAAAAATGATAAATCTAAAACCTAATCCCATAAACCACATAGTAAAAATTTCGGGAAATTACGTACCAAAAAAAATGAAATTTCTGGAACTCAAGAGTTGTTAAATATACCAAATTAATTCTTAATGAGAGAAGGCAGCTTTGATATCACGTTTAATCCAGATCCTAATTTAACAAGCAATGAATGTTTGTGTAGTCTAAACAATAAATGTTATGGTTTATGAATGGAAATTCTGTCACCTATCAACACAGTCATGAAGTAATGAAAACCCATGAATAAAATGTCATGATGAAGCATCCAGATTGAAGACCATTACTAACGAGAAAAGAGAATGTTATATGATACATCACAAATGGACATTATTTAAATCAATAAATTCACCTTTGGGTTGAGGAATGCCAACTCCCTAATGCGTCCAGCTATTGTGTTGTAATCAAACTGAATAGCAGTGGTGAATACTGCATGTTAAGTTGAGGTAAAAGTGAAGCATATATAAGACTGAAATTTGCAGTAACAAACAAATCTTAACCTAGAAATGCATGATCTTTTATGATCATATGAACCTTCTTTGTCAGGCCAAAATCTTATACGTGTCCCACGAAGATCTTTCTTTTCAACAGGAAGCACAAGGCATTTCAGAATTGTCGTTGGCTTCCCACGAGAATATGTTTGCATGTATTCCAATCCATCACGCCAAATTGTTACCTCTAGTGCCTTTGAAATTAGAAGCAAATAGAATCTTTAGATAACATTGATAAATAACCAGAAGTAGAAAACTGACTGAAAACGAAATATGAAAGTAATGGTAAAATCTAAATATATGACGGATAAGAATGTGCCACGGTGTGTCAGAATGTAAGCCATAACATCAATATATGTCTCATACTCTTTATCCAATGCTTTCAGATATGCATTGCAAAGTTCAACCGGAACTAAAAAAAGGACAAAATTGTTAAAGAAGACATACCTCAGACAAGGCATTAACAACAGATAAACCAACCCCATGTAAACCTCCAGAAACAGAGTAGCCACTGTTGGCGCCACCAAATTTTCCACCAGCATGCAAGACCTGCGAATTTCATAAGAGTAAATAATCTTTATCCAATTGAAAAATACACAAAAAGATAAAATACAAATAAAATGTACTCAAAGACCAGGCAAAATTGTCTTGCAACATAAGACTCAAATTCCAAACTTTTCAAAAATTTCCATCCACGACACAGATCAAGATATCAACATCAACATCAACTACACCTTTATCCCAAACTAATTGGGTTTGGTGGCAGATGAACCTAAATGAAAAGTACGAAAAGAATGAAATGAGTCTATTTAGTTCTTTGAATATCCTTGAACATTGTCAGTAAAATTGGCAGAATAGTACAAATAGAAGAATCTCAACAACCTACATGTTGAAGTTCAAATGATCCTCTCATCAAATTTAGCATAGAAGAGATAATAGGTAGCATAAATCCCAATTTCAAATTACATTTTTCTAGAGTAAACAGATATCAAGGTGAGGCAATAGCTCCATACGTCAGAAGTGTTTAAAAGGTTGAAAACTTGACTCCTTTTACTTGAGCAATTAGATAACATTTAAAACATGAGCACATACAATAGGAAAAAGTTAAAATAATAATAATAACTAACAATAATTTAAGGGGTCAACTAATTTTCAAACAGTCAAATGCATTTGCTTCTACTGCAAACATAATTTAGTTTTTTAATAAAATAGCATAACAGGCTCAATTGAAATTTAATTGCATGGTATCTAAAGAACCATGCACCATAAACCTTCTGAAAATGTTCAAACTTTAAAGCATATACATTGCAAAACTCTAGAGTCAGCATTCAAGTATATGCAACAATACCGTCAACACTGTCTCCAAGGAAGATTTATTTGTAACTGGATGCAAGTCAGTAGGAATCTGCATTTCATGAGAGAAATTAGTATGTATAGTCAAAATCAAGCGAAAGATAGTAAATATAGCGTAAGTAGCCCTTCTCCTAAAAAATCTACTCAAAAGAATGAATTTCCATGAACTTAGGTTACAGTTTGGAAAAATTGATCAATACTACAAGTGTTAAGAGATAAAAAATTTGAAAGATGCATTGCAAATTATACTTAATTCCATAAAAGAAAGAACCATTGCTAGCATTTACAAACAGTTGGTCAAATATCATATTTAAATCCATGAAAACAAGGGAGTTAGAAAATAGTTACTAAATTACATTTTACAAAAAAAATAGTATGATTATACTATGCACAACTCTCTTTCTTTCTTTTTTTGTTTAAATTTTAAATCTAAAAGTCAAAGATTCAAACTTCAAATTAACATTACATTACATGATTACATCAGCAATATACAAAAGGGAAGCCTAGTGAGAACATAATAAGATATACAGACAAAGCACAATCAACCTATGACAAAAATTAAACAACAACGCATACCCCGCGACCGTTGTCAGTGATGCTCACAGAATCATCTGCAAGTAAAACAACATCTATCTTGGAAGCAAATCCAGCTTGAGCTTCGTCAACAGCATTATCCAAAATTTCATAGACCTAAGAAAGAAAATAAACTCTGCTTCAATCAACGAAATCTCAGAACAAATAAAGAAATCAAAATTGCTTCAAAAATGAAAGTTAGAACTTAGAAGACAATACCAAATGATGCAACCCACGCGGGCCAGTGCTTCCAATATACATCCCGGGCCTTTTTCTTACAGGGTCCAAGCCTTCAAGTACCTACATATATATTAAACAGCCATTGAGTAAAAAAAGCCAGCAACCATAAACTATAACAAACCCATGTCACCTCCAAAGCACATTTGATAAACAAATACGCGAGAGATGACAAGAAATACACATGACATTATATGAAATTCCACTGAAACATTTTTTGACATAGATTTTCCAGCACAACAACATTTACAACATCCAACCTACACTCAACAGGTTTCATCAAATTGTCTATACAACACAATCCGAAATCGACACAAGGAAACAAAATACCTGAATTTGTTCAGAACCATAAGCTTTGGAACTTTCATTTTTCTGAAAAGCTTCAGTTGTTGAGACAGACGACAAGTACGCCCCTGGAGTGACAGCATTTGGTGCCACCAAATGTGGAATTGACAACTTTCTCAGACGAAAACTCGTCCTAAGAAATTAAAAAAAAAAAAAAAAATCGTTACAAAGGTTCCAAATTAATAAAGACAAAACGAACAACCCCTTTCTCCTTCTCTTTCAGCAATTCAGTACAAAAAAGAGTACACCAAGAGCTACAACATTCTTATTTAAAAAACTAGAGTGAAAACAATAAGACTAAACACAACTATTACTTTGTTCAGCTAATAGTAACACAACTATTGCAATTCTAGGCAACATAAAAGAGCAAAAATCTGAAAAATAGGGACGCCATTACCTGGGTTGAAATAGAGTGGAATGAGTAGAAACAGGAAGGGATGAAGAAGAAGAAGAAAGAGCATGGAAGGAAGAGGCGATGAAAAAGCGAGAGGCCATGAAGCGAGGAAGAAGAGAAGGACGAAGTAGAAGAAGACGCGCCATCACTCACTCACATACATTCACATTGACATAACTCTCTTTCTCTCTTTTCCCTCTCTATCTTTTTTTTTTTTTCTCTAAACCCTATATTTTAGCGTGTTCTCACTTCTTTTAACATTTTCCCTCCACTATCAGCCACTGTTTTTCTTGGAATGATGTATCTAATCCACGCCTTTGAGATAAAAACCATGTATTATAATTGCGGGATTAATGTTTTTACATTGTAAGAAATAAAATTACTTTTTACACATATAAAAATATTTGATATTTATATTTTCTTTCTTTCTTTTTCTTTTTCTCACATAAGTTCACATATTCCTTACTTATTTTTATGCATATATAAAAGATAATTTTATATCTTACAACATGATAAACAATAAATCACTTTTATGTTGGAATAATATAAAGACAGAAATAGGTTACGTGCATAAGTTTGCTAATTTTTTAATTAAGGAGAAATATTATGTTTACAACTTTTATTATTTACAAATTTTTACGACTAAATTTTAATCGTTATTTTCTGTTAAACTATCAATGATAATTTATTGAAAATTAATAATAGAGGAGGTTATATTTATAACTTTTTTTGTTTATAAACTTTTACAACAAAATCTTAATCGTTGATTTCCGTTAATCTGATAGTTGTAATTTATTGAGAATTAATAAGTATGACCCAAAAATTTATAACCATCAGATAAACAGAAATCAATGATTAAAATTTGGTTATAAGAGTTTCTAAACGAAAAAAATTATAAATATAATCTTTCCCTTTAATTAAAGAATTAGCAAGTTTATGCACGTAAATATCTGCATTGCATAATGTAACACCTCGTATATATTCGGTATGTTATCATATCATCGTATTAAGCTGCGCTTAATTAAAAATGTGGAATATCTTTTTCTTTTCAATTATGATGTCATTAATCATTACCAACTTGCTTACTTAATCATTTAATAAAACATTGCATGTATGTAAATTGCAAAAGACAGCTAACTGAAATACCTCATTAATTAAACAACATAAATATGTCTCTAGTCACGGAACTACAACACGTAGACCGGACAACCCTAATAGTTTATACAACTCAGTTAAACTAAAACATAACAGAAACCAAAGTGGCATGGACAAACCACATGCTCACCCAAGTAAGGCACAATGCCCAACAACAGTCTCAACAGCAGCAACAAAATAAAAGCAAGCTAAAAACATAACATCAGCAGATATATCCAGCATTCAACCATGTCAGCATATAAACAGCAATATCATCAACTAAGCTCTGGCCTCCTACCGCTAGAGGCATCAGCCCCCAAGTTACCTGATCTTGAAATAAGCGCCCCAAACGTGGGGTGAGATCTCTAAACAAGAAATCTCAGTAAGATAAGGGGTCCTCAAGGATCTTCCACCCCAAGCTCACTTACATGTGCAATATAAGTTCAAAAAGCACTAACTCAATATAAGTTCCAAAACTATGCAGTGCAACAGATATTCATGCCATGTATGTATAACTATTCTACTGGCCAGAGAAATGCAGGAATACGTCTATTACCCACACGTAGTACAAGGAACACCGCTTGCACCTCACCCACAGCCTCAACATCTTATATGTACCACATACTCAGGCTTACCGTATAGGTGGAACACCACATGCATATCGTAAAGGCATTCGCATATAACAACTCAACAGCATTTCACAAATCAGTATATCATGAAAACAACATCATGCATATAACCATCCCCCCATGGGACATGGTGGAACCAATAATGGTTAAACCAAGGACACGAAAGCTTACCTTGCAAGCTAACAATCCAAGCCAAGAGTCCACGCTAGCTCAAGGTCACCAAACAGCACAATCACAGTCTGTTTGTACCAGAATTATCATCAATCCTCATGCTCTATAATTTCATGCCAAAAGGAATACGTTTTCTTTCTCATTTTCGCTTACTGCAGGCTTTTCTCAAAGCCTTAAGCATTAAACTGCATTTACTCTTTTTAAAACTTTAATTGTAGATATTTACCAAAAATTCTAAGATTTTAATATCTTAAACTAGACATCTCCAGCTTTACAACGACATATTATATGCCTCAATCGGAGTTGTATAACTCCGATTAAGTTTTACGCAAAGTGACTGCTATAACCGGAATTTCCAACAATCAAAACGCGATTTCAAAACGACACAGAGATCAAACCACTCATCCAATAGCTACGAAATTTTACAGAGTTGTATCCCTATGTGTTAGCTTCACATAGGTCTAAACGGAACTCGATTTGGAGCTCTGTAGCTCAAGATATCAAATTTTTACCGAAACAGGTTCGTTGCTGTCCTAATATCCGGATATTTCGCGACAGAATGCAGTTTTGTATTTTCGCGAAAATATCCTTCAAGGTTCCATTTTTAACACTTAAACACGTTAAAGCATGCATCATTAAGTCCATTTAGGTTCATATACCAGTTGGTTACTTAAACAACTCATTAAACATGCCAAGACACCTCTTTTAAACAATTAAAACTCATGATCAAAGGTTCAACAACATACCCAAGCTTCAAACTCAGAAAAGAAAGGCTCTTGGAGCTCACTTGAAACTCCCAAGGGTTCTGACTTTGAAGTGTACAAAAATGGCACACCACCAAGCTTCTTCCTCACCAAAAATGGCTTCTTTAAGCCTCCAATGACAAGAACAAGGGCTAACACCAAAGGATACACCAACTCAGCCCCTCAAAACAGACTCAAACAGTCACCCAAGCTCAGAATACAAAGCTTTTCACTCACCCAAGTCTCAACCAGTGTTTTAAAACCCCACCCCACCCCCCGGGTTGACCCGGGTCAACCCTAACCCCTCCCCTTTGAGGGTTGAGGTCACAAGTTAGACCCTATATGCACATCGACCCCTCCAACCCCTAAAACCCAGTCGGGTTTCAGTGACTCCCGGGTCAGAGGGGTCAAAGGGGGTCACTACATTTTTTTTTTTTTAGAAAATTCCATGAAACAACGTCGTTTTATTAAAAAAAATAAAATAAAAATGCTTGCAAATCTAAATTTAATCGTTCTCTTCTCTCCCAACGACCTAAACTTGTGGTATCTTTATACTTTGGTATCATTAGAATATGAGTTTTGTACTTTGGTATCTTGATACTTTAATTAGGTTGTATACTATTGACTTGTGGCTATAATTGGTGAATTATATTAAGTATATTTTGAATTTTTGATGATTGGTGATTTTTTTTTAATATTTTCATATAGGATATATATATTTATATTTTTTTAATATATAAAACCGGGTCAGCATAGTGACCCCGTGACCCCTGACCTCGGCCGAGTCGATAGCCGGGCCGAGTTTTTAAACACTGGTCTCAACCACACTCAACAAGGTGTTTAGATTAAGAAAGTAGAAGGAAATGGCTTCAAACTCACACAAAAGAAGCACCAAGGCAATGGAACAGTGTTTAGAGCAAATGGTCAACCTCCATTCACGTAGGAGTCATAAGGTGTCTAGGGTTTTGTGCCCAACTTATGTATATATAGCCACTTAAGTCATAAACGCACAGTATTAGCAATAATAGCTACGCTTAGCATTTTAATCCCAAAATCGGAATTCTAAACCTACTTAATTTTACAAGATTTATCATATTTTTATTATATTTTTCGGAGCACCTTTCCGGTACGTGCTTTTTCATAGCCAGTACCAATTCTGGCACCAGTTCTCATTATATTAACTTGAAACTTGTTTTACAAGTCCTATATATTATTATAGGAATTATCATCTACTTATTATAATTTTCCAGGATACTTAATCGGTACGCATTTATACCGAGTAGCAGAATCCGTATTTGTACTTTTCGTTAGAAAAGCGACTTCCAGCGTTATTACTCACTTACCATAATTATTTAAGCCTCATAATAATTATTAGGGACAATTATGGAATTATTTTCTACTCTCATAATTAATTAATTAATTTCCTTAATTAACGGTGCGGGTTCTTACACATAACGATAAAAACTTTACATAAAGTTATATTAATATATGAATTATAAGAATAAATAATTACATCATATAATATACTTAACATTAAAATGTATTATTTTTAGATCACGCAAATATTTATAAACTTTGCTTCAAAAATATTAGGGGAGTGTATTTCTTATATTGCATGAGAATTAATCTCATGGAACACGAAAAATATATTTCTCAATATATTAACTTTTGAAAAATGAGTAAATATTATATATATATATATATATATATATATATATATATATATAAAACAGTAAACATTTACATCACTTGAGATTAAAAACTTTATATACATTAAAGCAAATTAATATTTTAAATCACGGGGATAAATCTTTACTTTTAACCTAAATAAAAAATTTATAAAAAATATATCAATATCTAATTAACAGATAAATATATGAAGATTATCTCTCTCGTGTAATGAAAAATAAATTCTCTTATATCGAAAGACAAACGAAGTGGAGCCCACTCATATATTTTTTTTTTAAAAAAGACACATTTTTCTATGTTAGAATAACATGAGAGTAATCTCATATAACATGAGATTATAATTTCCCTGTATATAAACAAGAATATAATTACAACTAAATTATGAATAAATATATACATCATACAATAATATAATTGCATAAAAGGAAATGAAAATTTTACATATAAACATAATATATATATTTTTTGGTAGAAATATTAATATTTTTAATTACACGGATAAATATATCACACATAAATAAAGAAAATAAAACCATACAAGTATTTGAATCATATAAATAATTTTTACGGCATATGAGAATAATATATATATGAGTAAAGAATTTTCTCCGGTCAATGGAGATAAGTTATCTCCAGCAAGTCCAAAACGATGTCATTTTAAGACGAAAATCAAAATATTTTTGTAATTATAATATATTACAGGATTATATTAATCTTTATCATTACAATTTTTTAATCTAATAACTCCAAAACGACGTCGTTTTGAGTTCACTGGAAATAACTTTACCTCCGGTGACTAGAGAAATACTTTTCCATGTATATATATATATCAGTATTTTATTTTATGTTAATACAAATCATATTTAAATATATTTAGTTATTTCAAATTAATCATATAAAAATAAATGCTTAGCTTGCATATTGCACCGGTCAACATGGCTATATCTTAAATGCTAAGGGTGAAGAACTAGGACATGTGTCATTCAAACCAAGGCCATAAAAATATACGTGTTTACTGGGAAAAAGAGAGTCTTACACGTCTAAATTTAATCCTGACAATGGATGCCTGAGGTAATTGGACACAATTTTAATAACAAAATTCGTAAAATTTATAAAATGAATCAGAGAAAATAGTTATTTAATTGTTGATTATCGATCTATGAATAAATGATTGAAATTTTCACAAATGCAGTACTAGCTGATAATGTCTTATAATACAGCAAGAGAAAATGTATTATATATATACACAAGCACACAGGCCCATGCCACCACAAACCATGAAGAGAGAAAATAAACCTAGATAGAGGAAAAATCTCCCTCAAATAAAGCTGATTTATGAAATACAATGAACAACTTTAACCTAAAATACAAATACTATTCTACATTTTCGCCTTCAACTCTATCTATCATACACCTATTATATAATCAAATTATTTGAGACTAATTGAAAAAGCACATAAAAGCTTAAAGAAAAATGTTGTACCACACCAGCAATAGGCGGAGATATTACAGGTGGAGAGTAGAAGAAAAATCATATTATCTAACGTTACAACACAACAATTAGGCTTCTAGAGGAATTCATTGTCAATTGACACCAGCTTCCATTGAATTCATTTAGTGCAGAAGATTCAATGAAATGTTCATGTTATGTTGTAGATATGCTATATGTTGGAGCTTTGAAATACTTCACTCTCTTGGCCGGGCAAGCCATAGAGAACTGAGGGCTCTCAGCCTGGAGAAATAATCACTTATTGCAAGAAGAGCTCGAGCTGATTGTCTGGTTGTTAATATCCTAAGCATTTGTTGTAATGTTTGCTGCCGCAGATTATCAGCCTATTAACATGAAGAAAGGAAAAATGAACTGATTAACATGGTAACTACTGCTTTGTTTTTTCCCTGATGAATCAATTTATCACATTTGCACTACATATTGAATAGTTTGGGTTCAGTTTTTTTCTTTTTTGTGCATGCATATTATTTATTGCTTTTAGCCTCTCATTTCAAGCATTTTCCACCTGAGGCATGCAATGAGCTCTATTTATATCGAAAACGGCAAAGGGAAAACCTGGTGCACAAGGCTCCCTGACTTGTGAGGATAAGGGTAAAGATCTAATTGTATGTAGCTTTACCCTTTTATTTTTACACAGAGGCTATTTCCCATACTCGATCCTGAGATCTTCTAGTCACAAGGAGCAACCTTACCACTACTCCAAGGCTGGCTCTGAATGAGCTCTATTTATATTATTCTCTATTAATCTTTCTTTTACTAAAAGGAAATATTGAATCAAAACATGAAATTATATGTTATGTCCACCTAATATTTAGTTCTAAACTCCTTACTTCAAAAAGATTGAGAAGTTGAGGAAATGGAATTAGATTGGAAAACTAGCAGACAGTGAAGTACCTGGCGAAGAAACCCCTCAAGAGTACCGAGCTTTCCCATGGCCATAGCCATTTGCCCCATATAATTTGCCACATTTCCAGAAGAACCTGATGGGCTAGGTGAACCATTAGCCAATGTCTCAGATAGTGATTGCTGCAATGCATCCATTCCTTGGGATAGAGCCTCTTCAGCCTGCTGGGATGACTGCTGCAAGTTGTATATGCCCATCAGTTGTTGCTCAGTTAAAGGCTCCAATTGATTTACAAGAAGCTGCAACAGTTTCAATCCAGTTTTAGACAGGCATAACATGAAAAAAGGAAATGAACTTTAAATTCAACACCAGAATCAATTATTATCAAGATAAAGGTAACCTGGTGCTATAAAGCCCCAGCTCTGGGCAGGGTCATATTGAAAGGATCAAACCAATTGTCTGGGTCTATAATAGACAACTTTACCTTGCATTTATAAGATTGATTACATGGATCGAACACTAACTGTTGTGCCATGGCTCCCCTTCAATTATTACCCAGATAAAAAAAAAAACCACTTCCCGTTAAACCCGACTAGCAAGTGTGGATTGGAGGTAATCCTTGTACGCAGCCTTATCCTTGCATAATTGCAAAGAGACTATTTCCTAGATTCGAACTCATGACCTTTCAATCATGAAGGAGCAGCTTTACCACTACTCCGGTTCGCCCCCTTAATTATTATCAAGATAAAACTATTAAATTGTTATTTCTTCAACAATTGAAAAGTTCCTTAAAAATATCCTGAATTTAAGTTTCAGTAACTTCAAGAACATGGGTCCTATCCATTGTGAATTCCTTTTTCCTTTCCTCTCACTTTATATTTTATATTTTAGAGGGGTAGGGGATGCCATGTGTGTTCAGCTACATATTACTAAAGCAATTTTCGAATAGAAATAGAAAGATGGGAAAAACAAATCCGAGCTAAAATAGTGTCCACATTTCTGACTGAACAATTATGGGCTCAAATTTTTTTAAGAATATCCAAAAGGCCCCTCCTAAACAAGTTCTAGTTCATCTTCCACTAGACTCCTGACAATTGTTTCCCGAAGAAAGAAAAAAAAGAGAGAGAAAGCAAAATGCGTACAGGGCATAGAAAGATTATTATACATCTGTGATCTACCCAGGATCTAAATGAGATAAAAATGAGCCAGGATAATTTCTTATCATGCATAATTCAACCACGCACCTTCAAATACTTAAAAACACAGTTCAGAAAACAATGTTTCTGGTTACCCCCACAATATTTATTTTTCCTCCTCTCAGCATACCCAATTCCATTTTATTCGGTGGTCAAATCATGGTGGTTAGAGAAATATGATATAAAACCATTAATGTGATCTTCACCTAACAGCTTAAACTTTTAAGAGAATTCGAGCTATATACCGGAGCCTCTATGACAAAGTGGTCACAATTTTGATCTTCACCGCCCCCATTCTATTACTAAATAATTAAATATTGTGAAATTTCATAACATAGGTAAACGGGCTGGTACATTGTCTATCCTTCGAGCTCAATGCACTCATGTGAGGGGGTGTGTTAGAGAAATATGATATAAAACAATTAATGTGACCTCCATCTAATAGCTTATGCTTTTGGGAGAATTGGCATTGTACAATGGCCAATAAATTTGGAAAATTCTTACATGCACTAGGTGAATCACCTCACTTGTGCATCAGACCAACAAGAACAGGCAATTGATTGACATCTTCATATTTAGGTCCTGCCATGCAATGTCAAACCAACTGCGAACTACTTGCGTACATTGGTGTAGTGCACAACTGACATGATGCACCCAATGCATACAAGAACCACACCTGAAAGTTTATTGAACTAAAGGCATGTTTACACTGGAAATGAATCACAAATGCTAAAGAGATACATGAAAACAGATTCAAAGGATTGATTGACCATTCTGCGAACTTTTTGAAAATAATCAAACATTAACCAAAGGTAAAGGAGACTATTCTCAGAGAGACTGAAATGGAACTACCATATACATGAACACATGCATAAAAATGTATAATAAATGTATTACCACACTTGTACTTCAGAAAATTATAAACCAGAAAAAGCATATAACAATAGAGCATAAATAAACGAGAAATTTCTGACCTTCAGAATTTCAGATGAGCGAAAGCCTCCAATCCACATGAAACACCTCTCAGCTGGAGTCTTCCACATCCCTGATAGAATGTGGAAAACATCAGCTTTTGCAGCAACGCCTTTCAGCCTGAAGATATCATCAAATTGTGTCATGAAATTGTCAACAATGGTACGAAGTTCAATATCTCCAGCATGAGAATTTATTGCAGCCCTTAGTTCATTGGTTTGTCTATTATGCTCTTCTAACCATCGTGCATACTCTGCATCAAATGCCATAGCGCCTGCATACCAAGATGATTAACGCAAATGCTTTAGGATCTAAAACACAGCACAAACTTTTGTAAAACCCCTGCTCATGACCATACATGCTACTGAAAGCCATCTTGTCAGAGTTTAAAACCATATAGTAGGCTTGCACTTCACAAACATACGATGCAGTCCATTTAGATAAGAAACACCAAGTTCTATCAGGTATCACAAGAATGCAGTATTGTAAGAGCCAAGATGCAGCCAAATAATCAAATGTTTGCCAATGAAAAATGGGATCCAATGTAAATGTAATCCAAGTAAGAGAGGGTTCTATATCTTCACGGGAGAACTTTGGTTGGTTTCATTAACAAGAACCATATCACGGAATACTTCATGGAGCATTTATTACCAAGATTATAAAATCACAATTCAAATTGAGTCAAGAAGCTAATTTTTGGATCGTGAATTATAAATCGTATCGAATCATAAGATTCAAAGTCACATTGAAAAAGAGCTTGAAATATATTGTTCAAATGATGTAGAGTTGCATTTCATAATAAAATGTTCAATGTAATAATTTTAGACCAGGAACTGATCACAAAACAACTTAAACATAAGTCTCACAAAACAAACTCATATAAGTCATAAATTAAGTATTGGTAGCATAGCAAGTCATATATAAGCTAAATAAAAAATAAAAAAGTCATAACTCATAAGTAACCAAGTGGTCTAAGTCCAATTTCCAAAGTTTGTTCCTCTGCTCTGTTCTCACCCACAGCAGATGATAAATTGGCAGAAATAGATTAATAAATTAGGATTTCTCCTCACACACTAATGCTGAATGGTGTGTTTTGCTGTCATATTTTTTTTTTTAAGTTCGGTATCTTTTCCCTTCAGATCATATCAAGGTCATCATAGACTTGACTTTGAGACCCACACGCTTCAGCAAAAAACAGAGGATCTTGAATCGGCATACCATCACAATTCATGATTTCAGAACCGCATTGCACGATTCCTGAAATTCATGCAGCAATTCTGGCTGCCATGCAATTAGTTCAGTGATTTGTATTGTTTGCATCCCAAATCGTATCGAACTTTTCAATATGAATAGTGAATCATGCGATTTCTATGCTTATTACATAGTGACAATTTGTAGAGACTTGCGCACTAGAGCAGGAAAAGATACATGCTCCATTCCAGAGAAGTTAAATGCCACTGATAACATTTAGATATTTGGACATGGATGGCACTAAGAAATAGTAGCTTAAGTGATAGGTAGGTTTATTTGACCCTCAGAAACATAAAGAGCATCTATAAAGGACCATATGGCTAAATTTAACTCTTAAATCTTGAGTCTAAAATCAAAGCTTATTTCCAGTATACAGAATTTAAAGAAAACTTCAGTCAGGTTTAGAACCCAAGTTTAAGATAAAATCAGGCATAAATATCTTAGCTAGTGCAAAAATTCCAGGTTGCGTAATGGCAAGCAACTACCAATGCAAAATTTTTACATAAACTAAGTTCAGGATAGCATATTCTTAATTGAATGTCAAGCCAAGTGTTAAGGGCTTTCAAATTGGCTATAATTACAACTTTGAATTCAATATTATCAGACTCAAAATAACACGAAAAACTGATTCAAGTACAGATTATAATGCAATATAATTTTCCAAGCTAGAGGCACACAATGGGAGTTGAAAGAAGTTTAAATACCATTTCCACTCATTGAATGGGCCTGATCTCCTGTGCTTGAAATAAATATTCCCTAGAGAAGATTAATAACCAAATTGTAACACATGATAAAGTAACATAAAAGGATTAACAAAAGATGACAAAAAATGGGGGCATCCAAGAATAAGTATCAAACTTTGAATAGAGACAGTAAATAAAATAACACAACCAAACCTGTTGGCGAGCTCGCTGGAGCTCTTGCTCAAGTTGGGTCAGTTTCAGCCTACTACTCTCTAATTGTTGTACATATGCCTGAGTGAACAGAGAGAAGGATTTAAAAAAGAAGAAACCAAAAGTATGCAATGCATTAACAATATGACAAAATGTTGGGTCTCAAAAATATGGCAAAGCTGCATTCAACAACTAGCCAAGTATAACAAAAGGAATAACTATACAAGTTCGTTTACATTAACAGAAAAAGGCCCTACCTTTTTCCTCAGTCGGCTTTTTCTGGCAGCCTCACGATTTTGAGCTAGCCGTCGTAACGTCTGAATGGTGGGAAAAAAATTAACATATAGTAACATAAGCTTATGTTATGAGAACACAATTACTTCGTACAACCTTTTGATCTGTTTTATCTTTTGATCTATCACTAGACTCACCCCTTTCAGGCTGCAAAACAACAACAAAGCAATATAGTTTAGAGTACGAATAAGTATGGTTTGGTTTGTTTGATAATGTTGAACAATTAGAAGGAAAAATAATTCTCAATGTCACATCATAACTTCAGGGGGCATCAACAAAAGGCATTCAATTGATGAATAAATTAAATTCCAGATGTAAAATAAACTGTTTTATAAAAGCAAAATAATCACCATTTGATTTTTATCATCTGTATCCTCTGTTGAAGTAGGGCTCGCATCAGCCATGTTGGACTCTCCCCAGTTCTCACGATGACCAGCAGATGTCGAAGTCAGATTATGTTGTGAGTCTTTCTGTAATGGCAATGTCTGAGACCCAGCAATCGCAGCAGAGAGGTTTATATCCGAGTTTGCAATTGACTGTGTCTTACATGTGTGAGAAAATTATGAAATGCAGGAATTCATTATATTTTGAGATTTATTGATTCTTGGAAGCGCTTAACCGCATTAAACGTAAGAAATTACCTTACTTAAAGCACCAAATTGAACATCAGCACCTAGAGCTTGGCTATTTGACTTCATTTGACTAAACATTGGATCTGAAAGATAATATAAAAATACAAAGGTTATAGAGGTTTGATAAGGTAACAGCAAGGATAATGACAATTCTAATACCATGTATTTCTATCATTTATTTAGTCAAGAGAAAAAAAACGAGTTTTCGCGGAGTTAAATCAAACTGTTTTGGTTTAACTTCCAGTTATATTTCATTCCAACAACAGTCCTACATCTTCTAATTGCTTTTGAGGGATCATACTTGGGGAAACACACATTTCTTCTAGGAAAAAACTGTAGAAAACAAAGATTTTACTCATGAGGTAGGAATAAGATGAAGACTCATGTTAATAGCAGCTTAGGAACATTCGAAAACCATTGGAGAAGATACGATTCATTTTATTTCCAACATAAATTATGCATCACCAGACACAGAATTGTAGCTAAAGAATAACAAATCATACTAAATACAATACAAAAAAGGGGGGGTCCAACTTTTAGAGATCAAAACGTGAGCAACATACTTCTGCTAAGATTGATGGTATCCTCAACACGAAATCCAAGAGATTGCTCAAGGGTTCCAAATTCAGAAATTCGAGAAGGATGAACATTAGTTGCTTCCATGCCCCTGAAAACCAAAATCATGACAACAACACATAAAAAAAAAGTTGCTGAATGAATGCATATCGAATTATCCACGTTAGGTTCAGAAAACCATGCTACTGATGAAATTCATGTTACCAAGCCAAAGAAAAATCCAAATTGGATATTCATGATCTCACAACAAATCCAAGCTTTCCTCTGCAATCTTGCAACCCATAAGGCCTATTTTGAACAGCATAATTCTCCAATAACATGAATAATTTATAACAGTTATACAGGAGTTATACTAGAAAAGTATATTAACTATATTCGCCATCTACCCACATGAGAATTTAAACAAAAACAAATAAATAAATAAACTTGATCCCAAAAAACATTAGACAATTCAAGAGTAAAATAAATAAAAATCAAACAGAAGGGTCCTCTTACATTGAGTTAGAAGAAGAAGGCAATGGAGGAGCGTAGCTTGGCATCCCGTTCACAACCTTGTTAGCGTCTTTAGTGTTAACGTTTACCGTTCTGCTTCTACTACCCATCAATAACCATGCTCAGCACAACGACCATCTTATCTCTCCACAAACCTTAATCCGAGGATGCCCTGAACCCATTTCATAAAGCACACAACTTTGGTCAAACCCACCTCAAATAAATAAATAAACCTCAGCAAACAACATCTTCAACAAGAAAACCACAATTTAACAAGCTTCTAAACAGAGAAATTACAGAAAAACTAACTGCAACCTTAGGAAACAGGAATCAAGATAACCTCGTTGTCATGACATTTGCAGCAAATTAAGTGTTGAAAAAAAAAAACAGAAAAAAAATATATATGACAGTAACACAAGGACAAAACTTTGAAACTCAGAAATCAAAATCTTTGCAGCAACAAAATACCCCCAAAAATAAAAATAAAAAATTAATGATTTTGAAAATAAAAATAAAAGGCCCACCTTCAAAAAAAAAAAGCTCAATAACATGAACTTCAAAAAGAGAAGCTCCCCAAATTTGATACGAAAAGGGTAAAAAATGAAAAAAAGTGATCTTGAACAAACTGAAAGTATAAAACCGAAAAATAAATGAACTTTCCACAGATTTCAGCAATACCCAGAAGAAGAAACCGATGGAATAAAAGCACAGCAAACCCTAAGTAGTAAACAGTTGACGATAAATACCGAGACTTTTTGACTTTTTTGATTGAAGCGAATGCCACTTTAATATTTTAATATTAATGGTGCCGCACAGTACAATTTCATCTCTAACCCTGGAAAATTTTATATGCTCTTTTTATTTTATTTGGTTAATTTGGTGAGTGTTGCTTACAATTGAAAACAAATTTAATGCTTTTAATAGCTCACCATCACCACATATTCAAAGGAGGAGCATCATGTCATCAAGTTGATCTTTTTTTATGTAATTATACGTATATTTTATGAAGGGTGGAGAGAGAGTGTGTGTGGGGAAGAAGCGTGACGTTGAGACCATTCCAATTTCTTGCATACGTCGTTTTCGTCTGAAACTCTCTCCCATTTTAAAGAAAGACTTGCCTTTTTTAAATTCTTCAAATTTCTGTTAACTTTACCGCTTTTTGTTTTTTGTTTCTATCTTTCGTTTTTGGGTTTAATTTGTATGTAACAGGAAATAAATTTATTTTTTAAATGATAAAATTGTTTCTGCAGTCGCTTTGTGCAACGATAACTGTATGATTATGATTTTTTATATTTAGAGAGTGTATTGGATTAGGATTTTAAAAGACTTTTTTTGAGATAAAAAATCCTACAGATTTTAAAAGATATTTTAGAATTGAAGAGACTTTATAGACTTTTTTTACAATCAAAATTTCGTAGGATTGGATTTTAAAAGATTTTAATAGAATTCATAAGATTTGAAAGGACAATATGAATTTATAAGATTTTAAAAAACTATATGAATTTTTAATAAATATTCAAAATTACAAGAGTCAATAAAAACAAATAACAAAGAAATGCAATGATATTAATAAATAAAAAAAGCAAACTTAACAACGGGTTGAAAATTATCTCAAAAATTACTAAGCAACAACTCTCCATATATCAATAAAATCTAATATAATTTTCTCAATGAGTTTGAGTGTGATTTGCGAAAATATTAGCCATTGATTGACGAAAATCAACGGTTAAGATATGGTTGTATAAGGTTCTAAACAAAAATAGGTTGTAAGTATAATATTTCCCATCAAAAAATAACAAAGAAATGCAATGAAATTAATAAAAAAAAGTAAAACCTAATATAATTTTCTCAATTAGTAAAACATAATATAATTTTTAACAAACATTCAAAATTACTTAACAACAGCTTTTCACATATCTAATGGGTTGAAAATCATCTTTATTTGGTATCAAAGTTATGCATATATGATAAAAATCATCTTCATGTGTAGCAATTACATCGAACAACAAAAGAAATGTCTGAAAAATAAAAAAAAATAAAAAAATTGAGATGCACAACTCTTAGAAGTCAACAACTCATTCTTAATTATGCATTTTCACAATACTCCTCCCAAATAAATTGAAACTTTGCGGATATGGTAAATAGGACAGGGTGAACTTAGATGAATAATATTGCTCAACTCAATCGACAATTAAACTCTTACTATGGTAACAATACTAAAGTTATCATATCATTGATTAGTTTCCAAAAAAGAAGAAGTTATCATTGATAAAAAATACTATTAATTAATAGTACTGGTTGCATGATCGATTCATTTGTCTTATTCATTTGGCGTATTACAGTATTACTCATTAGCCTTAGGTGTCATAATAGCCAAGAGCAATGATATCCTTTTAGAGGATATTTGCAGGAGGATATTTTATTTTTTATCCGGAATTACAAATTTTGGAAACATGGTAAAAAAATAAATTTTTTTGAAATGTTATAAAAAAAACTGTTTGATAAACCAATATATTCACGAGAATATTAGATTAATTTGCTTGATTCTATGTGTATTTGATTGTAAAATATTACTAAAAATATGGATTGAAATTAATTATGTCTCAAAAAAATTATCAAATATTCTCATCATATGAGATTTTCAAAATACTACTTATTTGATGATATTTTAAGATAAAATTTGTCTTCATAGATATGAATCTCGTTACAGAAAATTTTTTACAATCCTCATATCAAATATGAGTAAATCAAATTTTCAATCTCACTTTTTGAGAATTTTAAAAATAATTCTTCTACCAAACATCAGTTAAGCATGGTTCTAAAAAGGGCAAAATCGGGGTTTCAATCTGCTTTTAACTTTATGAATCTTAAGCATGATTTACGTGACATCTTAAACATTATATTCAATCATATCGTGGTTTAACTGTTTAATTGATGCAATTTACTTCTTAAGTTTTCAATTGGTAACAATAAAAATATTACAACTTACAAAACTTTCAGTTTGGTACGATGTATAAGATATAAGCTTATACAATACATTATGACTTTTTCAATTGTTTGGTGTAATCATTGTATAGTATAAGTTTATACAGCATCCTCTCTTAATATATTAAAGGGGAAAGTTCACCAATGCCCATGTGGTTTACTCCAGAATCACTTATGCTCCTGTGGTTTACTCCAGAATCACTTATGCCCCGTGGTTTTTTCTTATCACATATGCCCCTGTAGTTTGTAAAAGGATATGTTTTTTTATCAGATATGTCACTGTGATTTTTTAGTTTTTACAAAACACAGTGGTATATCTGATAGGAAAAAAACTACAGGGGCATGGATGATTTTGAAGCAAACCACAGGAGTATTGGTGAACTTTTCCCTATATTAAAATGATGTATAACTTAATCAGGGATAAAGGGGTGGGATTAGACCTGATAAGAATTTGGTGTATTAGCTCCAATAAGTCTTTTCCCCTTCTAACCCTTTCTTCCCCATTCACGTTGGCCCCTCACTTCTCTTCTCCCTCCGCCACCATCAGCCTGCTCTCTTCACCTTCATATTACCAGGTACGTTTCTCTTATTCCAGAATTTTGAGACATACGTTACAATAGTTTTGATATTCATAGTCATTTGTGCTTTATTTCCCCATGGTGTGAGGTATTTGGTTTTTGAAGATAAGGGAAACGAGGTACACCCTCCTCCTTTGCGAACTTATCACTCTGTGTAGTTGTTATTTTTATTTTTCATATCAAAATTTAAAATTTTGTTTATCTAAGCAACAAACCCATTTTTGAAAGATCTTCTGGAAAAAATAAAATTTAAGAGTATATACCCATTTTTGAATTTTTTTGTTAATCTTACGAACTTCAAACGTAGTTGATTAGAAACCCATTTTTTAAAATTTTATCTTTAAAACTTCATACTGAGTTGTTAATTTTATTTTTCCCATAAAAAATAAATAAATCATATAATTCTAAATGCTCAAACTTTTAGTTTTCAATAGATAAACTTGCACCAGTATCAACGTATAAACAAAAAAGAAGAAAACAACAAAATTTTAAGATGCACCAGATAAAAAAGGTCACAGAGAAATAATATTTTACCTCATTAAGATAATATACATATGGGTTTATCATCTATCATTTAATATGATCACAAAAAGTTTCTTACACACACAATATTTTGTGGGACTCGCAGCAAAAAAAAAAAACTACGGCACGCAAAACGAATCTCTATAACATAACACAATCACTTTTCCTACAACATAACTCTTATAAAAATTTCCTACACACATAATATTTAGTTTTCAAATGATTATTGAACTCTACATATTTAAGAGAAATAGATGAGATTATGTGAAATTTTTAATATGAGAAAATCCATTATATTAAAGTATCAAAAAGGAAAAAAATATATTAAAATATACATAAAAATAATCATACAAATTTAATAATAAATCGAGTACTCGGTATTACTATAATATTGAAAATATTTTCCTATTTTTTCATATTTAAACTTGTTTTCATAAGAATAGTTAATTTTCTCTCGGTATTACTGGGTTATATTTATTTTATGTTGTGTAAGATAAATAAGCTTCCTACACATATGATACAAACCCAGCAACTTCACTGGCACCTCGTACACGAAAGGCACCTTCCTACTTTTCTGATTATGTGCATGACGTGGGCAGCAACAATGGCTAGAGAAATGGTCTTCAATTTGTCCCACGTTGTCAGCATTAACTTCCCATTTCCTGTTTTATTTTATATTAAATTCTATGTATCAGTTATCTTGTATCTTGTAACCACGTTCTATTCCCTGCAGTTACAACTGCTCTTTGTAAATGTTATTTAAGTTGGATAATTTGAATAGAAAGAGGTCAGATTTACCTCCTGCATTATTTTATTTTCCTTTCTATAAGCTTAACCTTTTTGCTGAAAAGGATCCCATCATTTTGGTGCTTTCATTGAGCACACTCCCCTCCAATGGCAGAAGGAACACGGTTCCGAAAGCTAGAAGAAACACAAGAAAATCATGCTACCCAAATCCAAAGATTGTTTGAAAACTCTACCCAAGCCATATCCCAAATTACTCAACTTCGTGAATCCTCCTCCAAAACATCCACACAGATTTCTGCACTAACAGAACAATCTAATCAAACAGTGAACTGCCTCAACGAAGTCCAAACCACCCTTACAACCTTAATAGGCCGCATTGATCAACTATTGAGTCTCAACAATACTGCCAATACCACAACTCCACCCTTTTCCCCTGTTCTCCAACCTCGTCCTTT